AGTGCACTTGCCTCAGAAAAAAAAGATACATATTCAGGTCAGGTCAGGTTTATCCTGCTACTGGTAACATGTAACCCAGTACAATCTGCTTCATGTCCTGCTGCCTTGTAGGATATGCCTTTTTTGGGCAAAGGCTAGGAGATGCAAACTCCGACATAAAACACCCCCTGCCTTGGGGATCTTGGTTGAGAAAAGGCTAGAGATGGTGTCTCGATAAAAACACTCATCTTGGGCAGATGTTAAATGCATCCCGCTGCTGTCTTGTAGAAGGCCTCCTAGGCAAAGACTTAAGGGGTAAACAGATTCTATCTGTTGACCAGCCTCGCACCCCTTCTCCATCTATAAAGCTGGCGCAAATGTATTTTTAATACATTGTTTCCAGTTTAGGAAGTTGAACGCTGGATCTTCTTGACTCGATGCATGGGTTTTGCTTGTGTCTCTGTTTTTATGACTAGGCAACTCATTCTATTATCTCCAAATGAGAGTACAGCTCTAAAACTCAGTTTTTATGGTTCTGAGGTTGCTAGTAGTCAGGTTTCCCAAACTCTGTGGTAGCTCTCAGAGAGGCTGATTCCATCAATAGCTGAAAAATATCAGAGTACTAACAGTGCCATGTTGCGCATGGATGGTGTCCCTGTTTGTACTTTTGATGTGCATTGCCAAGGCCACATTGGAGCCCTTTATTACGGCTTAGGGTTTATTAGTGGAAATAAGGCAATTGCTTGGGCTATAAAACAGTGTACTGAGTACTATCTATGTTTCGAGTCAAGTTCTTTAACAAATTTATAAATGTGTAAAGTAACAAAAACTATAAAATACAAAAAACCAGTCATCACCAAGTTCACTAAACCTATCATTCACCAATATTCGTGGTCTTCGAAGTAACTTTTTTTCTGTTGAGTCTTATCTCTTGCAAAGTTCACCAGACCTACTTGCTCTTTGTGAGACTAATTTGAGTTCAGCTGTCTCATCTTGTGATCTTGGTGTTGATGGTTATATTCCTTTAATTCGTAAAGACTCCAATAGTTTCATGCTTGGCCTAGGCATTTACATTCGTAAGAATTCACCCATTTGCCAAGAAACTAGGTTTGAATCCACAGACTACTCTTTTAAGTGCTTTTGTTTAGCACCACTTCACTCTATCACCTTTCTCTTTGTTCTATATTGCTCTCCTTCATCTCAAGACTGCACTCTTCTTGATGTTACTTCTGATCATATTGACCAAGCCCTCATTCTTTATCCATCAGCCAATATTGTTGTTGTCGGTGACTTTAATGTTCATCACACTGAATGGCTTGGCTCTAGTGTCAGTGACTCCGCAGGGATTAAGGCCCACAACTTTTGCCTTTCTCAATCCCTAACTCAAATAGTCAACTTTCCAACTCGCTTTCCAGACAACCCGAATCATTTATCTTCTCTACTCGACTATGTCTTGTTTCTACTCCTAGTCAGTGCTCAGTTTCTCCACACTCACCCTTAGGTGCTTCTGATCATGGTTTGGTCTCTCCAAAACTATTATCTCATTCTTCTTTACCATCAGAATCCCCTTATCATTGTACATCTTACAACTACCTTAAAGCTGACTGGGACTCTTTCCGTGATTTTCTTCATAATGGCCCCTGGGTAGAAATCTTTTGTCTTCCTGTTGACAAATGTGCTTCTTACATAACTTCATGGATTCAGGCTGGCATGGAATCCTTTATTCTCTCTCAACGATTCCAGGTTAAGCCTCACTCTTCTCCATGGTTTTCCTCACATTGTGCTGCTGCAATTGCTAATCGAAACCATTACTTCCATATCTATCAGCAAAACAATTCTCCAGAAAACAAAGGCCTGTTTATTACTGCTAGGAACCATTGTAAAAAAGTTTTGTCTAATGCCAAAGCCCGCTATTCTCAGATCATGAAATCTCGTATTTCATCACAAAAATTAGGCTCTCGTGACTTATGGAGAATCTTTAATAGTATCAATAATATGGGCAAGTCTGTAATTCCACCTCTTTTGTACGGTTTAGACTTTGTCACCTCACCTAAAGACAAAGCTGAATTGTTTGCCAAGAACTTTTCATCAATATAATCTCTGGATTCCACTAGTTGCGTTCTACCTGATATAGCCGTCAAACAGGTTGATCCACTGCTCGACATCCGTATCACTCCAGCTTCTGTATCTAAAGTGATTTCCTGCTTAGACTCTTCTACAACTTGCGGCCCGGACAACATACCTGTTATAGTCTTGCAGAAGTGTTCTCCAGAACTGTCGTCTATCCTTTCAAAACTATTTAACAAGTGATTATCAGATTCTTAATTTCCAGCCTGCTGGAAAGCAGCATCTGTTATCCCTTTTTTTAAAAATTCTGGAGAGCGATCAGATTCGTCAAACTACCATCCCATTAGTCTCCTTCCTATCATAATCAAGGTTTTTGAATCTTTAATTAATAAACACTTAATCTCTCATCTCGAATCTCATAACCTACTTTTTGATCATCAATATGGATTTCGATCTTCTCGTTCTACGACTGATTTGCTAACAGTAATAACTGATAGGTTTTATCGCGCATTAGATAAAGGTGGAGAGGTTAAGGCCATCGCTCTTGACATTTCTAAGGCGTTTGATAAAGTTTGGCATGCTGGTCTTCTCCATAAGCTTTCTTCTTACGATGTATCTAGAAACATCTTTAAGATTACCGAAACCTTCCTTTCCAATCGTAGTATGAAAGTTGTCCTCGATGGACAGCACTCTTCTTCTTATTCTGTAACCTCAGGGGTTCCTCAAGGTTCAATCCTTGGCCCTATACTCTTTTTAATTTACATTAACGATCTTCCAGATTTTCTCACATCTAAGGTGGCATTGTTCGCTGATGATACTACCATTTATTCTTGTCACGATAAGAAGCCAACTCCCTCTGATTGCTTGCAGGGGGGAATCTGAGCTTGAAAAGGATCTCACTTCTGCTACAGCATGGGGCTCACAGTGGCTGGTGAACTTTAATTCAGATAAAACTCAATTTTTTTCAGCCAATCGTTATCGCAATAATTTAGACCTTACTATATTTATCAACGGTAATGTACTCAATGAGTCTCCTACCCTTCATCTTCTAGGATTAACTCTTACTTCTGATCTTTCTTGGAAACCTTATATCAAATCCGTTGCAAAATTAGCATCTGCTAAAGTCGCTTCTCTTTATCGAGCTCGTCACTTTCTTACTCTGGACTCTATTCTCTATCTCTATAAATCTCAAATCCGGTCTTGTATGGAATACTGTTGCCATATCTGGAGTGGATCTTCTAATGATGCCCTTTCTCTTTTAGACAAGGTGCAAAAACGCATTGTAAACATAGTTGGACCTACTCTTGCAGCCAACCTTCAACCTCTGTCATATCGCCATAATGTTGCTTCTCTTTCTTTTTTCTACAAATACTATAATGGGCACTGCTCTAAAGAGCTAGCGTCTCTTGTACCATCTACAAAAATTCATTCTCGTGTTACTCGTCATTCAATTAAGTCTCATCCTTTTTCTGTTACTGTTCCTATGTGCTACAAAAACTCTTATTCGTCTAGTATTTTTCTCGAACATCAGTTCTATGGAGTTCGCTTCCTTCATCTTGCTTTCCTGATTCATATAATTTGCAATCTTTTAAGTCTGTCTATCGTTATCTTGCTCTACAATCTTCATCTTTTCTCTTCCAGTAACTTCCAATGCTAATTAGTTGTTACTTGCAGCCTTGGTTAGAAGCGAAGATGTTAAAAAAAAAAAAAAAAAAAAAAAAAAAAACATGGTTCAAACCCCGTCTCTGAACAACTCCCTATTAAATACTCATAGTGCTCTGTGACCATTAGGACTTCTTAGGGCACATAAATAAAAATAAAAATAAAAAAATAAAAAAATAAAAGCAAAATCTGTCTCTTCTCTTCACTTCACACTGGCAACATCGATCTTGTCCTTTATGAGCTTAACAGTTTTATTTTTAATTCACCTTTTTACTTGGTTGCTTAAATAGTCCAGTAAGTCCAAACGGTCTAATCAAAGAGCACCGCGGAAGAACATTTAACAGGAAATTCACAACTCCTTCTTTACTGATGTCGTACTACTTGCCTAAAGCTGGCTTTAAAACACAGATCTTTTGCATCTGATACTGATGGGCTACTACTGTGCTACTATGATTTCTATTTAAAATTTTAGGATGCTGTTTTTCATCTTGCTGTTCTTAACAACAACAACAACAACAACAGCAACAACAAGCTGTTTATTTTCTGTAAATTATTTTTCAATAGCACTAATAAAAATAGTAATAAATAAATCAAAAGTTAATGACTGCAAATAAAGAACTGTTAAGCTCTTAAGGGACAACAATGAATTTGTTAGAAATGTAAAGAGGAGACAACTTTTGCTTTTATTCTTAAACAATTACATAAGCAAGTAATAAGAAAAGGCCTCCAAAAGAAACAAAAAAACAATGAATAATTATAACAAAATATTTAAACAATAATTTAATAAAAAGTTTGTTTTATGAATTTGCTTGGCTTTTCGTGAAACAGACATGTTATGCTTCTTTCAAAAATCTTAAAAAGAGCTGAAGTTACCGTGATGCATAATAATCGGAAAAAATTTCATAAACTTGCAATTTAGATATATATATATATATATATAAATATATATATATATATATATATATATATATATATATATATATATATATATATATATATATATATATATATATATATATATATATATATATATATATATATGTATACATATATATATATATATATATATATATATATATATATATATATATATATATATATATATATATATATATATATATATATATATATATATATATATATATGTATATATATATATATATATATATATATATATATATATATATATATATATATATTAAGATATTATGTATTTTTTAAATATGGATAACTCATTTTAAGGAAAAAATGAATATACAATACTTTAAGTGTGATATAAATATTTAGTGTACCAGGCAATAAACTATCTTCTTTTTTTGATAAAGCCAATTCTCTATTTACAGATGAACCAAATCCAACTTTTTTTATGTTTACAAATCTAAAAGTTAAATTTTTTCTTAGTAACAGAGAAAATTTTTTTTTTAATATAACAAAAATTAAAAAATAAGAATAAAAAATATTTATGTTGCATAGCATATAAATTAATAAAAAAAAAATTACAAAGCTTTTCTTTTTGACAAAGCACTCATGCTATCATAACAGTAGCTACCAGGTCCTATTTTTTAATGAAAAAATAGAAGTACTTATTTAAAATGAAAATTTAACTTTAAGACACAACAATTTTTGTATAACTTATGCATACTATAAATTAGTAGTTGTTTAGTAAATAAATGTAAAACATAATTAATACATTTTATTTATACCGGGTGATGAAGAAGCATAATGATCACTTAAAAAGCGAGTAGCTGTCTGACCAAAAGGGCTTTTTGAGCCGATTGACCTGAATAATTTTAAAAACAATGATTATCAAAAAAGACAATATTTTTAGCACAATTTTACAGTACCTACCAACTAGAATTTTCAAAAGCATGTCTTGGATCATCATATGAGCCAGGTGCAGGTGAAATTTCTTTTGAATCAAGAAATCGCTAAATGAAAACACATTATTTTGAATCAAATGATTTTATTGACATTACTAATTTGTGTTAGTAACTGACATGTAAAAGTAAAGCCAAAGTATAACTATATATGTTTGATTTCTAAATAGATAACAGTTAGATAATTTCTGAATAGATATATAAATTGCATCTTGTTTGATATGCATTTAGGGCAAAACCATTCAGAAGAATCATCAGAAAGCAGAATATAAGTGTGCTGGTCAATTTGAATATATTTTGCATGAACCCAAAAAGTGCAACAGCTAGATGGCTTTATGATTACAGATCATAAATGATAGGTGTTTGCAAATGGTGGATATATTTTTTTTAACAATAAAAAAAGCAGAGATAATAGAATAAAGAAAAACAAATGTTTCTATAATGTATATTTCCTTATAAATTTTGGATTATAAAGGTCAAGCAAACTTTTTGAAAAAACAAATATTAAAAATTTTTTAAAGAAAAGTAAAAAAAGTAAAAAAAAGAACTTTAAGTTATTAAAAAGTTTAGTTTATTCAAACACTTTGTTAAACTAAAACAAAGAAATAAAAAAAAAAAGAAAAGAAAAAAGTAAACAAACAAGAAAGAAAAAAAACTCAACAATTTTAAAAATTGAATATTTGTTTTAACAATAAAGAATCAAAAAATTTGTTGTAGCTATTTTTTTTTTTTTTCACTTTAATTTGTAACTATTATTTATTGCTATTATTATTTAAATTACTAATTTACAATTTTTTACATTTATTTGTAATTATTTAATGTTAATTAAAAATAATTATAGAAACATCCAATGAAAAAATTCATGTAAAATGTGTTACAATTAACAAACACAATCATAATCTGCTTTTCAATGATTGATTTTGCCCTGAGTACATATCAAACAATATGCTATTTGGCATGCTCTCTGATCTGGAACTTAAGTTAACTCTTTCCTGGAAGAATACTCCTAATAAAATAAAATCTCATGATTACATCAAAAATTTATTTAGAAACATGTACAATGTGTTTAATCCAACAACTAAATGCAAATACTTTAATATTAATGAACTAAATAAATCAATTAATACTTATACAGAAATTTATCTCAATATTTCTTCTCAATCAATTTATCTCTATATTTTTTTTCAACCAATTTTTCATATCAAATATCTTTCTAGTCTTATTAGTATCATTAATACTCCTACCATGATGATAGGAACTAGTGAGTCTGATTTATATGCAGAAGATTCTAATATTACCATACAAGATTCTAACATTACCATGCAAGGATTTATATATATATAATATACCAATATAATAAAGGATTTAACATGGATCATTGTCTAACAGAGTCAAAATAAGGTAGTGTACTTCTTTACCTGATTTCAAATTATAATTACATAACTTGTAGTGACTTCCTAATTTATGTCTTCAAACTTTTAGAATCTGTTTTTATTTTAGTAATAAATCCACTTAAGAGTAATACCATTTTTGAATATATATATTGACATTTCTTTTTAAACACCACTGATTTTAAATCTGGCCATTTTAATCCTCTCCTTGAAAGTAATGAAACAAAAAATATTAAACCGATGGGCAATTTCAACATAAATTTATATAATTAAATTACTAGTCATTTCTAATTATTTTGAATCTTTATGCTCTCATTCCTTATTTTCTACCATAATGCTTTAGACATGTGTTATTACAAAAACCAAAACCTTTATTGATAACATTTTTATAAATTCATTCCCTTCTAAAATCTTCTGGTAATCTTAAAACTTTAATCTCTGGCCAAATGGCAATATTTTGTTTATAATTCTAATAACCCACCCTAAAAAAAAATAAAACATTTAAAAGTTTTAAAAAACTTGATTTCAATTCTCCAAGAAATTTCTTAAATTGAAAACTTCACATAAAAGAAGATAATAAGATAAATGAATCTATAAAATTTTTCCTTAAAATATTTGAAGAATTAAACCGCTATGCTCCTTACAAAGAACTAACAAAAAAGCTAACCAAATTTTTATCTAAATCCTAGATAACCTCTGGTACCTTTTAAATCTATTTCTGCAAGTAAAATACTTTATAAAAATTTACCAGATCAAAAAAAGTCAATGCCAAAAGTCTATTATTTACTAAATTTAAGTTATATAGAAATAAAATTATTAATTTTTATAAACATTTTTTTAATAAAAACCTTGACAATGTAAAGAATACTTAGAAATGAATTCAAGAAATCATAAACGTCAAACTTTCTAACAATATTAAATCTTCTAGTCTTAAAATGTCATCTCAGATCATAACAGTATTGCTAATATTTAATAACTATTTTGCAACTATTGAAGACAAATTAAAAATCTGTTTTCATTGATCCCATGACTGAAAATAAAGTATCTAATCTCATAAAAGTTAATTTTAAAAATAAAAAAATTTTTGGTCTCAATAGTCTACTAACATTTCTTTTGAAGCTTAATCTCCAAACCTCTATTATGATAAATAGTATTATGATAATTTGATATTTATGATAAATATTTTTTTTAAAAATGGTATTTTTCCAGAAGCTTTTAAAGAAACCAAAGTAATTTCTATACTCAAAATGAATTCTCTTTTGGATTACTTTAATTATCAACCCATTTCTATTATTTCCACCTTAAGTCAACTGTTTGAAAAAACAATGTTCCGCTAATTCTAGATTTTTTGAAGAAATATAAATATCTTAACAAACACAAATATGGCTTTCATTACTCATTCATTAATAGAAACAATAGAGAAAATTAGATAATCCCTTGACAATAAACACTTTGCATGTGAAATGTTTATTGATATAAGAAAAACACTTGATAGAGTTGAGAACACAATTCTTCTAGACAAAGTGCAACACTACAGCATAGGGGTATTCTTTTTCTCAGGTTTTTCTCTTATCTTTTTAATAGAAAACAATTTTTTTTAACTAATTGTATTAACTCAGAACTAGCTAAATCTTTTAATGGTGTTCAAAAAGGTTCGGTTTTATGACCATTAATTTTTCTTATTTTGATCAATGTTTCATATAAATTTTCAACTGCTTATCACTTTGCGGATGACACCAACTTGCTCCTAAATAACAAATTACTTAAAAAAGATGACATATAACTTAAAATATGAACCATTACCTAGCCAACATTGTTTAATGCCTCTGCTTTAATAAATTATCCCTTAAGTCTGAAAAAAACTAAAATTATTATTTTTCAATCTATTCAAGCAAAAATAAGGAAGTAAATCATATCAATACTATTAAATATCTTGGAATCAAAATAGGCTCTAATTTATCTTTTGCATCACATCTTTAAGACTTAGCATTCAAATTAAACAAATCAAACAGAATGTTAACTAAAATCTGTCATTATGCTAATCATGAAACTTAATATATATCATGATATATTTCACTTTCATATCAGATATGCTTTTTAAGTTTAAGGAAAATCTAAATAGTTTGCTTATTACTAACTTATCTCCAAAATAAAACTTTAAAATTAATTTCTTGCATATTCAAACTCAAACATACCCTATTCATACTTTATATTCTGACTAATTTGAACTCTAAAATACACAATTTTTTATCTAAAGTCCTTAAACTGTGTGATCTTATTCAACTATCAAATTGCTTATTTGTTTGGAACTAAAATCAACTTTTTTAATTATAGAGCAAATTGTAATTATATATTTAATGTATACAGTATACATGTATATATACTAAATATCAAACTAATAATCCATATAAAAGCATAAAAACATGGAACAATCTCCCTTCAAACTAAAATCTCTTAAATCATTCTAAAATTTTAAAACCGCTGTCTTTAATTATTTTCAAAAAAATATTGTTTATAAATATTATAATTTATATATCTCATATTAGTACTTATTACTATTTTTAAATATTCTCAATGTAACAACTTTATTCAAAATATATTTGTGATGAATAGATAACTATAAAAAAGGTTTGATTTTTGAATAGATATTAAATAACTTCTGTATAGATAACTATTAGATAACTACACATAAACTAAATATTGATAAAAAATATAAAATAATTTGAAGAAAACAACATATTGTAGAAAACATAATTCACTTTTGGTGAAAGAATATATTGTTTAAAGCAAAAAATAATTCAACACTTACAAAATGAACACAGCACCCAATTAAAGCAAATGTTTTATGTCAATTTTTTTATAGTTATTATTTATCATTTATTGTTTATTGTTTATATAACCATTTATGTTTATTATTTATGTATGGTTTATCAATTGTTATCAACTCATTGAATTTGTCACTATAGCGCACTACTTCCTAATAACTTGTCTGACACTGTTTTACTGTCTTATAAAACAGAAGACTGACTTTGGTCTAAGACAAGTTTTGGTCATAATTTCAAAAATATCTAAACATTAGGAACAGTATTTCAATTTGTAAACTTATGTAAATATTTACCTTAGCTTTTGATCCAAAAGGGGGTGTTGAAGCTTTTTCACTAATTTTCTCTATTTGAAATTGACTTGGCAATTCATACTGACCAGGTCCTGGAAAGGCCTTGAGAGGAAAAAAAAAGGCCTTTTCTTAAATGCATGCACTTTAAATAAAAATTTAAAAATATAAGCACAAACAACAATTCTAAAAATAAACTTCAACCTTTTTATTTTCCTCTAATACAATAATTTCATGATAACGAGGAAGCTAAAAACAAAAATTTTATGATAACATGGAAGCAAAAAATAATAATCTTGTGAAAACTAAAAACAATAATTTCAAGATAATGTGGAAGCTAAAACAGTAATCTCATGATAACATGGAAGCTAAAACAACAATCTGATAATAATGTGAAAGCTAAATATGATAATGTCATAATAACATTTAGGCTAAAATCATAGATTAAAAAATTAACCAAATATTAGCACAAAAAATGTAACATTAAAAAAAGGTTTGAAATAAAATGATAAAAATAAAAATACTTTGGAATCAATGCGCTTTTTTTCTCTTTCTAATGTCTAAAATAAAATAAAAAACTGCATAAGTAGAATTTTAGTATGCAAAAAAACAATAAATTGAAAACTGATTAATATAAAGAAAATTAAATTTTAAAAATACCCATTCATTTGCTAACTTGTATTTATATGGATCATAGTTCCCAGGACCTGGTCCATCATTACCTAAATGATTATAATGAATAATTTGTGATTCAATTTTGTAATCAAATGAAATTTTTTGATGATGAAATTGATGATTTCATCATTAACCTTATTATCACTTTAATATCAGTTTTTTTGACTATTTCCCACAGGGCTCAAATTAACGGTTGGACATTGCCGCCCCTCGGACCATTCTTGAGATCTGCTAGAGAAGGGCAACAAAGAATGGTTGATTTTTTTAGTAAAAATGAACAATGGTTGGTTGCCCCCATATATCAAATCTAAAAAATAGTTTAGGGGGTGGCGATGTCTGATTGTTAAATTGAGCCCTGTTCCCTTGATATTTCTTTAATATTACAAATGCACAAAAAACTGTTTAAAATTTTATTGTTAATTTCAAATTTAAAAAGAAAAAGGTTTCTAATATATAAAATACTTTTATTTAATATTAAAATAGATTTTGACACAAAGTTAAAAGATTATATTGTTTCTATTTATTAAAAAATATTATATTAAAAATTTTGCATAGATTTATATTTATTCATAAGACTCATACTTATTTATTAGATCAAACGATGAGCTTAATGGAACACTATTTAAAACTATACACTATTTATTTAATATTATTGAAATTATTTTTAACATAATTTCAATAACAAAAGGTTGTAGTAATTAGTAAAGTCACACTACTGCAGACCTTTTACTCAGGGTTGATAAGTTTAAACAAAATGGTTTAAACCAATGCACAGTGGTGCAAAACCTCAATAAAGTGCCCATAATTCAAATTTTTTCAAAACTTTATAAAATGAATTATACTGCTTATATTATCTAAAAATATATAGGTTTGTTATTTTTGTTTATTAACAGGACAGCTACATGGATTATAAAGACGTCATTTTTGAAATAAAATTTTATCAAAAAAGTACAAAAGTTTCCAACGCAATTTTTAAAATTGATTTATAAATTTCTTTTGCTGTTTTTTTGTTAGAATTTTTAAGATATCTTAAATTCTATGTCAAAAAAATTTCAATTCATTAAAGTCAAATAAAACTTTCAAAAATTACTCTTTGTAATTTTGAACTCGCTTTTTGTAATTTTGAACTTGCTGTTCATTCAAAAGACATCCTATTCAAGCTAATTTAACACAATCTTTATTAAGTTCAGGTTATGATAATATCTCATTAAAAAACTCAACTGCATATATTCAAATACTATGATTAATTTTTAACTACTAACATGCAACCTTTTTTATGCACTAATATTCTCAAAGTATATAATTCGTTTAAAAAATATATAAACTTAAAAATATTAATAACCAAGTCACTTAGTGTGGTTTTTTGTTAGAAATTTTGTTTTTGTTTTGGGAAAAAGACATTTTTTTCATAACTTTTATCTGTTGTAAAATCAAGAACTGTTGATGCATTTGGTTATTTTTGAATCGCTTTTATTTCAATAGAAACAATTTTTAATTTTATTTAGATATACGCATTTGTTTTGCAAACATCCCCTAAAACCACTACAAAAAAGATACAAATGATAATTTTCTATAACTTTTACTTTTAATAAACTAAACTTTTTTTATGTTATTTGGTTTTTAAAAATGTTAACAAAATTGACTTGCTTAAAAATACTTGAATATACCAAAAATGACATAAATTTACTGTTATTATTCAGTTTAAGTTCTGCACTTTTCAGTTATTGCTGAAAAATGCAGAACTTTATTAATAGAAAAACAAGTCTTGTTATGATAATAATAGAAAAGAAAATCAAATTTTCAAAATGTATCTTTAGTTTCATTAATCAATCAGTTTCAAATCCCATTTTTTAAAATACAAGTTCAATTGGCTCAAGGGCTCAAAAAAACAAGAAGTTTTTTATTTTTAAACAATTAATTTTTTGTTTATAAATAGTATTTGTAAATATCATTTATTTATAAGTATTATTTTTATAACTATATTTATAAGTATGCTTTTAATAAATATACTTATAAATATAAATCTTTTATAAAGGTCCAAAGTACAAATGCTGGGATGAGAAAGCATATCGTACTAAAAGACGAGTTTTATATAATTTATTAAAAACTACTCCTATTGAAACTCTTATTAGCTGCATTGGCTTCTGCTAAAGCAATGCAAAACTCTGAGTTGGAATATGCCCTAATGCATTTAAAAGAAGAACCATCAAGTGCAACAAGTATTACTGAGATCTTAAAACACAATTTTAAAATCATAATTTTAAATCATTCTTGACTCCTGAGGATTTTCTTGCATTAATGATCTCAACAGATTTGACCAGAAATGCTTATCAAAAGCTTAAAAACAATGCCAAGAAACATACTTTATCCAAGCTATCACAAATTACTACAAACTAAACAACTGTGCTACTCTAAGAATATAACAGTTATGGAATCAAAATACAAGGTACCTTTGCAAGATCTGCTGAATCGTACAAGTTGTCGATTACTGCATTTAGATCAAGTACAATCTGAAGTTAAAAACTTGGTTGAACTTTTTAATAAAACGTTAATTCTAAGAGGGAAATAGGACTTTGATGGTGCATCTAGATAAATTATGAACAAACAGCTATTTTATTTGGACAATAGCAACTCTGATAAGCACATGTTTGCAACAACATTTTTTCCAATTGATCTTTCTTTTGAGAATACATTAATGTTCTCAGCAAACTGTCTAGTTCAATTTGAAGAAATCAAAAAGCTTTATCTTGGGTCTTCTTGTTGACATACCAAAAGAAGGTGGTGATGATGGTAATACCTCTCAAAAAGCATTTCAAAATTACCGAATTTTCAGCAAAATTACTGGGGTTGATGGCGAATTGATTCGCTGCTTTTACACTATATTGAGTGTCATAAACTCAAATGTAAAGATCAACTTTTCTACATTTGAAACCTAGTGCAAAGCAACTTTTGAAAAGTATGTTGCTTCCTATAATTAATTTTTTATGCCAGTTGCAGTACATAAACTACTGATCCACACCATTCAAATTGGGTCAAACATTCATCTACCAGGATTGTATGGATTTTGTGGAGTTTTATCAGAAGATCCAGCTGAAAAAAGAATGAAAGAGTTTAAGAAAAATAGAAATAAATATTCCAGAAAAATGAGCAAAGTATTGACAAATCAAGATATGCTAAACAAATGTTTGGAAACAAGTGATCCCGTTATTTAACAATAATTAAAAATAGTAACAAATCAATAGCAAATAAACAAAAACTCACAAGCAAAATGCTTTCACTAGTTACCAGTAAAGTCGGAACACAAAATGATCTAATAAGTGTTTGCGAATATGAAGACAAGAAAATACAGAATCAAATAAATAAACAAGTTGAAGATAGTGATAGAGACAAAGATAAGGAAGAAGAAGCATACGAAGAAGAGAACAAAGATGAAAGTGTTTTTTTTAGTGAATTGTTACAAGACTTAAAAAAGAGTGAAATTGATTGGATTACTATTATTAAACTAATATAATAATTTTAAATAAACAAATAATTTGATTTGATTTTTATGTAAATTTAGAATATTTTTTTTGTTTTTTCACCATAATCTTAGTTAAGTTATATCTTTTTGTATAACTGATTAAAATAGAAAATTTGTTTTTTATGGAAATAAATAAAATGATTCCAATAATACTAAAAAAAAACTTTGGCTAAAAATCACTTGTTGTATTAAAAGTACTCGTCATTTAAAATTGTTATGAAAACTATAAAACTTATTAATTCTAACTGAACTTTTTAAAGACTGTTGTATACCAATAGTAATAAAGAAAAGTTAAAAAAAATGTTTCTGTCTCACTGGGGCTATATATATATATGATCCCATTATTTCAATAATAATTTAAAATAGTAACAAAGCAATAGCAAAAACACAAAAAACAAAAGAAAACCTGCAGTTTGTTAATAAGCTTGACTTAACCATTTCTAATGATTATAAAGAGGTTATAGCAATTGAAATATTAACCAAAAAAATTAAAATATACTTTTGAGTTGCTGCTATTACCCACTGGTGTAATTAAATATTTTAATACTTTTTTAAATGAAGTTATTTTTAAAAAAAGTAACCATGAAAAGAAATTAAACTATTTAATTGGTGATATTAAATTAAATTGTTTACGGTATCACGTCAAATACAACATTAAAGAGTTTTACAATGACTTATTTAAAAACGGAGCGTTTCTGCTAATAACGAAACCAACAAGAATTACTGAATCAATGACTTCATTAATTGACAATATCATAACGATATTTTTAATCATTCTCTTAAAAAAGGAATCATTAAATGCAATATCACAGATCATTTTCCGATTTTTTTCTCCATAAATACAGATACTAAATTAATACTACATAAAAAAAATAGTTTTTGTAAACGCATTTATAGTAAAGCAGGTTAGCATCATTTAATGACCAATTATCAATGCTTCATTGGCAACATATTGATCATTCTCAGGACACAAACTTAGCTTATAGCAATTTTCTTAAAACACTCTACAATATTTATGACCCAAATTTTCCTAAAATTGAAATAAACCAAAATTTCCTTTAAGGAATTTGAAGCTGCTTTCAAAACGATTAAGCCAAATATAGCAATAGGATTTGATGGCATCAACGGAAACGTTGTTATAAATTCTTACAATTTTATTGAAAACATTCTATTTAAAATCTTTTCGTCTTGCATTAGCCAAGGAGTTTTCCCTGATCGACTTAAAATTGCTAAAGTAACGGCATTATTTAAAGGAGGGGATGCAACTAATGTAAATAACTATTGCTTTATCTGTATTCTTCCTGTATTTTCAAAAATTTTAGAAATAATCTTATATAACAAAATCAACAATCATCTTTCTGTAAATAATATTTTATTTAATAACCAATATGGTTTCAAAAAAAAACTCACAGAGCATGCAATACTTCGGTTTACACGTAGTATTAACGAGTTGTTTAATAAATCTGAATATACATTAGGAATTTTTAATGATTTATCAACGGCTTTTGATACTATTGACCATCAAATTCTTGTTAAAAAGCTCAAATTATATGGAATCACAAGAGTCGTTTTAAAATGTGTAAAGAGTTATTTAAATAATCGTGCTTAATATGTACACATTGACGATAAATCACCAAAAAAGTTACTAAACATTACTTGTGGCATACCACAAGGTTCTATATTCGAACTTCTTCTTTTTTTTATATATGTCAATGACCTCCATAAAGCATTTAGCCTGAGGATAATAATATTTGCCAACATCACAAATTTATTTTTACCACACAGCATCATTACTATATTATTTGAAATTATGAACTTAAAATATAAAAAAGTTTCCGACTGGTTTAAAGTAAATAAACTTTCAGTAGATATTGACAAAACTAACTGGACTTTATTTCACCCACTTTTAAAAAAAAAAACTAATATCATACGAAACGCCATCTATATTCATTGATAATATCCAAGTAAAAAGAGTAAAAACTACTCAGTTTTTACGAATATATATTGATGAAAATCTTAAATGGAGACAGCACATTGAAAATTTAAGCAACAAAATTTCAAAAAATATTGGAAAATTATACAAATCAAAAAGCTATTTAAACATTCACACTTTAACGCAACTGTATTATTCAATTATTCACTGCCATATTAACTATGCAAATATTGTGTGGGGCAGTACTAACAAAAGTAAACTAGAGCCTCTTCATCATCATCAGAAACATATAGCATGTTTAGTTTATTCTTGTGATTGATAAACTCATTCAAAGCCTCTCTTAAGAAAAATGAATGTTTTAAACATATATCGACTTAACATATATAATATTCTTTGTTTTATGTACTAATGTAAAACGAAATTATCTCCGTCTCCTTTTCAGAGTTTATTTATAACAAAACATAAAAATAAATACTATATACGAAAAGGATTTTTTGATGCAACCATTTTCGAAAATTAATCATTGTAAATTTTGCATATCATTTCATGGACCATATTGTTGGAACAAAATTGTCTTAAACAACTTTGATTTTTCTTTTAAATGAAATTACATATCGTTTAAAAAAAAGTTGAAAAAAGTAGTTTTTGAAATTGACAAGATACAAATGTATTTTTAAAACCTTTCGAAATTCTTTTTATCTATTATTTATATCGGTTTATATGATTTGCAATGTATGATTTTCTTGATCTGATTTGTAACTCAATTATTTACAATCTACAAGCCTATATTGCTATTATCTGTCAAATATATTTATCTGTCAAATTATCTTTAAGAAATTTTTGGTGAACTTTTTATTTTTTTGTATTTTTTTATTTAAATCTTGTTATTCTTTTATTATTGAAAAACACTTTTTTTTTTTATTTACTAAGTAAAATATTTAACTTATAAAAAAAAAAAAAGTGACTTTTTACAGTGGTACTTGATGACAAGACCATACGGTCTTCTATGAAACTCTGGGTTCTTTATATATACATACATATATATATATATATATATATATATATATATATATATATATATATATATATATATATATATATATATATATATATATATATATATATATATATATATATTTATATATATATATATGTATATATATATATTTATATACTTATATATATATATATATATATATGTATATATATATATATATATATATATATATATATATATATATATATATATATTATTTTATTTTAGCTTGTAAATTTTATAAATTATTAACGTGATGTTTTAAAATGTAATAAAGATATATATATATATATATCTTTATATATATATATATATATATATATATATATATATATATATATATATATATATATATATATATATATATATATATATATATATATATGTATATATATATATATTTATATACTTATATATATATATATATATATATATATGATATATATATATATATATATATATATATATATATATATATATATATATATATATATATATATATATATATATATATATATATATGTATATATATATATATATATATATATATATATATATTTATATATTTATATATATATATATATATATATATATATATATATATATATATATATATATATATATATATATATTATTTTATTTTAGCTTGTAAATTTTATAAATTATTAACGTGATGTTTTAAAATGTAATAAAGAAAAAAATATATATACATATAAAATACATTTAAAAAATGCTTTTTTCAAAAATTTCACAATACACAACGTGTTAATGAATTTAAATAAAAAAGTTAACTTTTTTTAACCAACATAACATTGTTGTTGGTGTTTATTTAAAAAATTTAAAAAAAATTTTTTTTTTTTGACTTTAATGAACTGAAACTTTTTTGACGTAGAATTTAAGATATCTTAATTTAATAATTAAGATATCTTAAATTCTACGTCAAATATAAATTCTATACGTCAAATAAATTCTAACAATAAAAGAAATTTATAAATAAATAAAAAAAAATTGCGTTAAAAACTCTTGTACTTTTTTGATAAAAATTTATTACAAAAATGACGTCTTTATAACCCATGTAGCAGTCCTGTTAATAAACAAAAATAACAAACCTATATATTTTTAGATAATATAAGCAGTATAATTTATTAAAAAAAAAAAATTCATTTTATAAACTAGGTGAATTTTTTTAACTATTGGGCTCGTATATTAAAAGGAGAGAAACCAATGACTATGGAGGATTGAGTTCATGGAGGAATGACGAATTTAAATAGTATTTAAGAATAAATGGTATTAAAAACTGTGCTTAATCATAAAGTTATAAAATTATTAAAAGAAATAGTTACTGCAGTTCACAATATCCACAAAACTAACTTAAATAAAACATCAAGTTATCATGAAAATATTTAGTTCAAGTACTAAATTAAAATAATCCTAATCATCATTAAGAGAGATATATGAAAATTTTGAGTACATTTTAAAGAATATCTAGCAATTTCACATTGTTATTGAAACCTCATGCAATATATTATACAATTAAAAAATAATAATTTTTTGTAAAATGATTGATGCCTAAAAAAATAAATTTTTTATTATTTTATATTTTTCACAACTCTCTGAAGAAAATAAAAAAAACATCACAATGGATACCCCACAAATTACCCAATCAAAAGGATAGAGTTCAGATGCACAAGGAACATTTTTCTTTATTCAGAAACAATATATAGAGACTACCTAAAAATATTTAAATTGATAACACATTAACTTATTCCAACTTAAGTGTTAGTAAAGCATCTGTTTAAAATAAATAAAACTATTTTGCCATGACTTAATAAGAAAATTCACTTAAAAAACACATTGCTTATATTTAAATGAAAATTTAACTTAATATACTTTCTTTAAAAGAAAATACACTTTTTTAAAAGAAGGTATATTAAGTTAATTTTTCAAACCAAAAACCATATTTTTTTTGTTTTTATAAAAAAAAACTGTTTTTGTTTTTGTTTTTTCAAAAAAAAAAAGTTTTTTTTCAACTCTGCTTCTACTGCAGATCTCCTACCTTAGACCTACTACAGCAAACCTACTACTGCAGATCTCCTACCTTAGACCTACTACAGCAAACCTACTACTGCAGATCTACAACCTTAGACCTACTACAGCAAACCTACTACTGCAGATCTACAACTGTAAACCTACTACTGCAGACCTAATATTGTTGAAAATAATAAAGCTGAACTTAAATAATGATTTAGTAAACTTTTTTTATCAGAAAAATATTAAACACTATATGTTTATTTATTTATACATTTATAAATAGCATTTAAAATTTAAATAAATAAAAGATTGATTAATTACTTAAATGGAGTTTAATTTTAAATTCATATATAAAAAACCTTCCTTTTATTTCTAGAAACACTTTATTTTCAAAATAAATTTAATGTTCCACTCATAGAGCTGTTCCAATATGTGAAAGTTGCTAGAATAAAAAAGAAATAAAGCTTTATATTAAAACTGAAATTCTAATACCTTTAAAATCTGTACGCCTTGAAGTCATTTTACCAAAATGGATACCTTTATATTTTTTCACTGGAGCAGTTTCCTCCTGTAACATTAAAACAATTTTATAGCTTCACAACATTATTTATTTGAAACATTCATAATATTTTAGTATTTTAGGTTTAAATATTTGATTTACAATTAAACAATAAAAAACTAAATAATCTACATAGTTAATTTTGTAAAAAGCAGGTCCCAAAGTAATATCATGACTAGATGCTTCTTTTTTATGTAATGAACCATCAATATTTTGCTCATAACCATTGGCTTGTCCAGGTGAAGGGATGGATGGAGGCACTTTTTTATGTAGAAAATTATTTCTAGACTAAAAAAAGACAAGGTAAATTTATAAATGATAGTTTATTAAAAGTTTACCCCCAGAGTTGCTGTAAATTAATGAATTGTAAATTTTAAATTATTTACATACATATTTTGAATTATTTCTAATTTTTCCTAAATCCAGTTGAGTTTGTTTACTTGACCATTCAGAGTTTATGTTGTATGAACCTGGTCCAGGAAGTTCATCATTAAGTTCAGTAAATCTAGAAGTTTTATTTTGCAATGTTGATCCTCCTTTTATTGAAGTTAGCAGCTTTGGGTTATAATTTCCAGGACCTGGAATTTCAGCAACACTTTCTGGAATGGTAAGAAATGATTCACGAAGTGATACAGATAAAAAAGGTGCATAACTATCTAAAAGTAATAGACGTTTGCATAAATTTAAAAAATTTATTTAAAAAAACTTAACAATACAGCACCTGGAATTAAATTTTAAGTTGACAAATCTAGTTTTTAGATTACGAAGGATAGGGAAAATAAAGTATAGGCTATTTTTTAAAAAAAATTTGATGATGAGGATAAGACAGTGACACTTGAGCATCAATCAATAAGTCAATCGATAACATATTTCTAAAGGTCTCACAATGAAGGATAGATTCAAGTAGTAATACAAGCATATAAAATATATAAACCCTATTTAAACAACCAAGTGTCACTTTTAATGACCAAAATTTAACACAAAAAAATAAATTTTAAAAACAATTTACGCGTACCAAACTTATGAAATAAAATGTTATTTTGATTAAAATAGCTTCCTGGACCAACTGAAGCTGGAGTGCCTGTTGCTGCTTGAGTAAGGGCTCTAGTCGCTCTATCATACATATTTTAGTTGCTCATACGCATGACTCTACTTGAATAAAATAAAATTTAAAATCATAAATTTGAACACAGCATGTAAGGAAATAAAACAAAAACAGTACTTTGTATATTTCTATTTTCTCAATTTCAAAACGAGATATATTTCGCCATTTTGAATACAATCGACGTTGCTAAGCGTTAGTAAACCATGACAGCGAGTTTCGTGAAATTTGGTTTGACCCAAACGTATTAAAACGGAAACGTTTTAATACCTCAATTTAGGCAGCCTACCTACAATATACTAGTTAAAAGTAGTTTAGGAAACAGTTAAATACTATTTTTCGTTTTTTTAATTTATAACTTTAACTTTTTTTTGTCAGCACCAATTTGGGAACACAACGCACATCGCTAGCTCTTGTTAGCTATAAACTAGCAAAATATAGATAAAAAGAGATACAAAATGAACCAACCTTATTAACGCGTTTTTAAGCATCCAATTGTAAAAATCCTGCTTTCAACACTATCATATAAAGTTATTAATGTTTCACAAAGTAACACTCTGCCAAAACTATCAAGGAAGTTATGAAATAACTTATAAAACAAAAATAGTTATACAGCATAAACTGTGAACATTATTAACTTTTGCATCAGAGTTCATATTTTTTCATCGTTTATATTGCCGTGTCAAAAACAGTAAAGTAAAACGGTTATTTTGAGTTTTACATCTTGAACTGGTTTATCATATCCTTCAAATATAAACGACGCGGATTCAATATCCTTCATATGTAAACTAAGCAGCAACATCCCGTTGCTTTTCTGTTTTTTGTTCTGAATGAACACTCGTACTATTTTACAAAAGCAAAACTGAGTTGACAGGTTTGCTAAGACACGTTTATAAGCGAATTATTTTTGTTAAACCTGAGATTTTTAATCCTTTTCCAGCTGAAAACAAAATAGACTTTTTGCAAATTAATCATCAAGTTTATGATATGCTGCTATCATGCCATGGAGCATATTCGGCGTTACTCTATAAAAATGATTTAATTGATTTATAGCTTATAGCTATATATAGCTCTATATTTAGAGCTTCGGAATTAATAGATCTAAGGTTCGATGCCTGCTCCTGTCATAGGGCAGATTCATAAAGAAGATAGAGTAGACATTGTTATAGGATAGATAGAGTAGTAAAATTCAATTTGTTTTATATCTTTTAAATTGACTTTACGTGGTGATAACAGAAAGCATTTTTATAACCATAAATTTATAAGCACTAATTAGCGGCTCTCATTTAATTAAAACGCCATTCAATTTTTCGTTTTTTTTAAATATTATCAATACACATGAAGAATCTGTGGTGCGAAATTTTGATGTTAAAACATAGATATTTACTTTTTTATGATATAATAATTTCACTACTGAGGAAAATTCTCAGAAAATACTCAGAAACTTAAGGTTTTACAGATATGAAAAAAAACCGCAATTTTATTAATTATATTAATTATATTATATTAATTATATTATATTAATTTATATAATTATATTATATTAATTTATATACCATAAAAGGTCTTGACTTGAGTTACTAGAAAATAACGAATAGTGTTATAGAGCAAGGAAACGGTTTAGAGAAGACTTGAAAAGTTTAAGGTTGAATGAGATTCAGGAAAAAATGAAGATGGGAGAGAGTTCCAAAGGGTGAAGTGCAGAGAAAAAAACTAGACAAATCAAAGTTTTTATAGCATGCAGGGACAAATACAGTTAAAGAATGAGACTTTGCTGAGTTACAAGTCAAGCGAAAATGAGTTTTACTTGATGGAACTATGGAAGAGAGCTCCTTTGAGCAGCGGCCATGATAATATTTATAGAAAAGAAAAAGAGATGCAACTTTACGACGATGAAAAAGAGCCTCAAGCTAAGTAGATATAGCGATTCCAACTATGTTTACAATGCGTTTTTGGACATTTTTGTCTAGACAATTTTTACAATGCGTTTTTGTCTAGAAGAGAAAGAGCATCATTAGAAGAACCAGCTCAAATATGATAACAGTATTCCATATAGGAAATAATAAGAGATTTATAAAGGTAGGGAATGGAATTAGGAGAGAGAAAATGGCAAGCACGATAAAGAGAAACAACTGTAGTAGATGCTAATTGAGCAATCAATTGTATATATGAATGGTCAGAAGTAAACGATAATCCAAGAAAACGTAAAAAAGAGGATTTAGTAAGAGGGTTGTAATTCATTAATATAGGAATGTTTACAGTACTGCAATATTTGTTTGCCAAAAATAATTGAGTTTTAATGCATTTAAATTTACAAACCACTGTGAGCCCCAATCTGTTACAAAATTGAGACCAGATTCAAGATTGACTGCCTGTTCTAAGCAATCGAAAAGAGAAAACTTTTTGTCAAGACAGGAGTGTAAAATTGAGTCATCAGCAAAAAGAGATACATTAGATGTAAGGTTGTCGGTAAGATCATTAATTTATATAAGAAACAAAATAGATCAAGGATAGAACCTTGAGGTACTCCAGAAGTTACTGGAAATGAAGAAGAGTCTTTGAGGATGAAGAAGAGTCTTTGAGGATGACTTTAACAAAGCGGCTAGAAAAAAATGATTTGAAAATCTCAAAAACTTTCCCATATACACTATATGAAACAAGTTTATGGAGAAGACAGCATTGGCATGCTAGTCTTTGTCAAACATCTTAGATATGTCAAGAGTAATAGCCATAATCTCTCTGACTCCATCTAATGCACGATAAATTATTTTGGTCACAGCAGTTAGCAAGTCAGCCGTAGAGCGAGAGGATTGAAAACCGTATTGGTTGTCTGACAGTAATTTAATTGACTCAAGATGGTTTGTGTAAAATAGTCAATGACTCAAAGAACTTGCTAATAACAGAGAGAAGACTGATCGGAAAATTATTGGAGGGTTCAGAATGTTCACCAGAGTTTTTGAAAATCGGAATAACAGATGTCATTTTCCAAAAACATGAAAACAAGACTCAATCAAGCACTTATAAAATAGTTTAGAGAGAATTGAAGAGAGTTCAGGAGAACAATTTTGTAAGATTTTTATGACAGATATGTTGTCTGAACATCAAGCCATAGAGGAGTTTAATCAAGGTGACTTAAGCAACGGAAGCAGGAGTGATTTAAATGTCTAGCAATGGTTAACCTACTTAACTAGAATGGAAGGAAGAGAGTGGCCAAAAGATTTAAGAGTCGAATTTGAAAAAAAGTTTTTAGCAAACAGTTCTGACTTACCCTTGGGAGAGGTAATAAGATCAGTCCATAAATTAGAGATAGAATGTTAGACTCATCTTTTTTAATAATGCTGTTGAAGATTTTACAAAAGTCTCTAAAGTCTTCTGAGATAAGATACGAGATTTAGTGAACTGAGAATAATGAAGCTTAGCATCTGACAGCACTTTTTTACATCAATTTCTTGAAATAATATATAACCGTTTGAACTGAAGAGAGTTTTTCTTTTGAAAAAGATGAAAAAAATGAGTACGACTAGATATAGATATTGCGCAAGAGAGTGAAAACCATAGAGTTGAATGAGGCTTGACTTGAATTCAACGAAAAAGAATAAAAGTATCCATTCCTGTCTGAATCCGGGGGATCTTTTTTTAGCTGAGAGTGAAAAGACATTAGCCCAAGGACCGTCAAGAAGAAAATCACGAAAAGAATCCCAGTCAGCATTTGGGTAGTAGTAAGTAGTTCGAAGAGTACGAAATAAAAGATTTAAAAAAGATCTTGCATGGTCAGAACCACCTAAGGGAGAAAAAAGAGAAACTGAATACGAGGTAGGATCAAAGACCAGACATAAATCAAGGAGTGAAGGTAAATGGTTGGGGTTGTCAGGAACGCAAGCCACAAAATTAACTATCTAAATAAGAGATTGAGAAATGCAGAAGCTAAAGTTTTTAGTGCTAACAGGGTTAGAGGTGTTAAAGCCCAGCTATTCAGTTTGATGAGCATTAAAGTCACCAATAACAACAATATTGGCAGAGGAGTAAAGAGAGAGAAAGCATAGTCAATTTGATCAGAAATTACATCTAAAAGATAAAGGTGATATATATATATATATATATATATATATATATATATATATATATTTACAATAACAAGATGAAATAAGTGAATAATCTTCTTACAATGATGAAAGGAAATAAACTTTATAAAGAATATAGACTAATACAAAAAAAATTAAGGTTTCGAATGAGTAAGACGATCCGCATGATTAATAATACGAGTTGCGTGCTTTTGACGGTTATAAAGATGTTTCAATCTATTTTTAAAAGCACTTCTCCAGGCAATATTTGCATAAATTGAATGGCTATGGATAAACGAGTAATAAAGTTGGGACAAACTCATTTTATTTAAATAATCTCTGGTTTTATACAAAATTCCAATATTTTTAGAAATTTTGCAATATGTTCATCCAAGAAAACTCCTAAGAACTTTATAACACAGTCTCTTTTAATCTCAATTTTGTCGATAAAAATTGGAGGCAGTTTTATGGGTAGATATCGCTTTTTTTTAAGCGAATGGAAAGTAATATATTTAGTTTTATTAATATTTATATATAATTTATTACATTTGAACTAGGTAGAAATGTTTTTAAGCTTCATTGTAGAAAAAAGTTTACAAATATCATTATTAGAAAAAAATTGGTTAGTGTCATCCGCAAGCATAACACTTAGTAGATTTGAGGCTTTATTTAAGTCATTAATATAAATACTAGCAGTAAGCAACCCGCAATATGCGTTGTTAGTAAATAAAATTAAAAAAAAAAAAACCCGCGTATAGAAAAGCCTAGAAACTACTTTAAAATAGAAAAGCCTGGAGAATGACGTAACTCGACTAATAATAATATTAAATTAGCGTATTCATATTATCAGAAGAAAAAAGAAATGGCCCTAATATAGAGCTTTGCGGAACACAGGTTATATGCAATAAATCCTTTTGATAAACATCATTACAGGAAACATATTGTTTTGGGTTTGATAAACAACTTTCGAACCACTTTATTACTATGTTATTTATTCCATAGTACTTAAATTTATGAAAATGGTAAGATCAATTGTATCAAATGCTTTTGAAAGGTCAATAAAAATTACTAGTGTGTATTGAGAATTTTTAATGGAATTTGATATCTCACGTTCGCATTGAATGATTGCATGTT